CTATTTCGAGACATTTGTCAATTTACTCATCTTCGCTAGTCACGGTTAACTTATGGAGGCAAATTGTGCCATTAAAGAGTGACAACAATACGAGGGTTTGGATTCGTTATACTTGTAGAGCCATATTCATGCAAAGTCTGCTGTCTTCTCAAGTTGGCCGTCGACCCAACCTGGCGCTATGCGAGTGGTAATTTCTCTACCGTCTGCCGCCCAATCCTCACGGTGGTGAGTCACAATGTCTCTAGAGCCCTCGAATTCGGCAACTTCTCGGCACCCCATCGAAAGGACCTCATTCTTCCATTAACACGAGCTGAGCTGTACGCCAACTTTGGTGCTTATGCGGGCGTGGTGAAGGAACTGCATTACGCTATCGCCAGCAGCGAGGTAGTTAATAGTTCCAACTCCAAGGGACTCTCCATTCTATTTCTTGATGATGTCACACCCTGTCCCAATGGACGATGCAAACGAGGGAAGTGCTTCAAGCTCATTGGTCCAAAGGACGCTAGTTTTGGGGGAATCATAGATCTGCTTGGTGGCGAGTCTCTCTGTACGCATACAAACATGGTCCTATGCTTTATTATTGTTTGCTTACATCATGCTTATACCATTTGACGATTTTAATTAGTCCGTGTTTCGACTGAGTGGCTTCACTGAGATGGCATTCTATTTAGGGATTTTGCGGAAAGGGGTCAAGGTCAAGATAGTTTCGGATATCTAGCCATTTTATGCAAAGTTTAAGACATGATTAGTTTGATATTCGTCAAGCACCCACATCAAATGTTTTCGTTTTAGCACAAAAGTTTTGGGACCACATAATTTACCTGGTGATTGCCATCAGCATCCTTGTCTGGGTTCCTTTATGCCTGCTGGTTTGCATTGCGGTAAGTATACGGAGTAATTTTTCAGAAAGTTTTCCCCTTCTGTCGCTTTCAAAGCCTTGCTGTTCCTCCACGCACGACTCCTTCAATCACGTGGTCCGCATTCGCCTTGATTAAGAATGTCACGAAGAGTAAGCGGTTCAATTTAGCTCGCAACTGCTTTAATTATTAAACCTTTCTAAATCTTCTGTGTTTACGCAGCAATCTTTAAAGTTTTAACAAGCTGCAGCGTTAGGATGAAAATACGTCCATGCTAGAGCACAGGTGGCTCACAGTAAAGTTAGGAGTGTAAATTAATCGTATCTGGCTTGCAGCCGAGCACGTCAGTTGCGATTTCGTTTACTGCAAATCGCCTTCTTCAAT